CACCCAGTGGCAAAAGTGTTGGCTGTGGTCTCAGAGCATTGAGACCACACAAGCATCTCGTCGCGACATTGGCTCCTCCCTCCAGTTTAATTATCTATTGATAAATTTCTTAAGTTCAACTTTAATTTCCAAAGTTTTCATTTTCATATATTTTTGTTCTTTCTCCTTTTAAGAGACTACAGGACTTAAATGAAGATTGAAAATCAAACTTTGAATCCAGAATTTCATTTCCAACCATTCACAACCATCCCAGAGATGAAATGGCTGCTCTTCTGGGCTTTTCTTATTCTCTACTTGCTCAGCCTACTTGGGAATGGGTCCGTTGCTTTCATCATTTACACTGTAAGCTCTCTCCATAAACCAATGTATTTTTTCTTGGCTAACCTGGCATTTCTGGAGGTTGGCTACTCTTGTACCATTGCCCCCTTAACTTTGGCTAATCTTGCTTCAGTGAAAAAGCTCCCCATTTCTTTGAGTGGGTGTGGCACCCAGATTTTTTTTTTACTGTACTGGGGGGCTCAGATTGCATCCTGCTGACTATCATGGCTTATGATCGATGCATGGCAATTTGTCGCCCACTAAGCTACCCTCTCATTATGACCTGGAGAATTTGTGTGAGTCTTGTAGTTGGGGTAGTGGCTATGTGTGGGCTCTTTGCTTTACTATGGAGTTTCCTCATAATGACCCTCACTTTCTGTGGCAATGATATGCCAATCAGAATTTTTTATTGTGATTATCTTGCTCTAATGAAAGTGGCATGTAGAGACACCCATCGCCAACAACTTGGCCTTTATATTACAACTACTGTTCTCGTGACTGTCCCTGTCACACTAATCTTCCTGTCCTATGTCTTCATCACAGTCACCATCCTATGCATCCCTTCTGCCTTGGGGCGTCAACGAGCTTTCTCTACTTGTTCCTCCCATGTAATGGTTGTCGTTATGCAGTATAGCTGTAGCAGTTTAATATTCCTATTCCCTGTTTCCTGGTTCTCAGCGGAACAAGTTCGGGTGATGTCTGTCGTCTACACTTTCGTCACACCTGTATTAAACCCCTTGATTTACAGCATTAGGAGCAAAGAGTTAAAAGAGGCAATGAATAGGTCCTTCAGAAAAATAATGCTGCCTCAGAAGAAATGAGACATCGGCCAGAAAACACCGATTGCCCAGAGAAGTACACATCAGATTCGCGAGGAAAAAAGTTAGAGATATAATTTATAAAATAACAAGAGATGAACCAATGATGTACAAAGGGAAAGAGATACAAACCCTGAAACAAATCCCACGAAGAGTGAGGGAGCAAAGGAGAGAATATTGATTCCAGGCGACACAACTGATTAAACGAGATATACTATTTAGGTGGTTGGTACTTGAAGGGATGCTGGTAACCTGGCAGGAGAAAAGAATTAAAGTTGACAATCTGGAGAAGGCACAGGATTTATATGAGCAACTAGTAGGCCCGGAAGAGGAACAGAGTAGTAAAGAGGAGATGGAATATAGAAGCCAGGAAGAACGACAACAGAGAATAAGGGAAGAACAGGGAGAAGGTAGTAGGGAGGAGGAAGAACAACTGGGAGAGAAGGAATTGATATTCTCTCCTTTGCTCCCTCACTCTTTGCGGGATTTGTTTCAGGGTTTGTATCTCTTTCCCTTTGTACATCATTGGCTCATCTCTTGTTATTTTATAAATTATATCTCTTACTTTTTTCCTCGCGAATCTGATGTGTACTTCTCTGGGCAATTGGTGTTTTCTGGCATAATTGGTGCTTACCCTGTATATATCA